GGGAGGAGGGGGAGGAAGGCAGGAAAGAACCGAATGGCGAGATTGAATGGTCCGGTGAGCGTGTTCTCCTGTACACATTCACAGAGGCTTTTTTTTTTTCTTTTTTTTCTTCTTTTGTCCCCATCCCTTGCCGCCTATAAAAAACGAAACCCTAAACCAAAAATCCCATGCCAACTATAGCGTTCAACAGAATGATATAAGCTACATGAAAAAAAAATAGACAAGCTACATGAAAAAAATTAGACAAGGTACATGAAAAAAAATAGACAAGGTACATAAAAAAAATAGACAAGCTACCTACCTAGGTTACAAGCCGGGCCGCCCGGCTCACCTTGTTGGACCGGGCGGCCCGTCCGCGCCGAGACCAAAGAAGGTCGGAGGGAAAAAAAAAACAAAAAAATCTGTGAAAAAAAACCCACGTCATGCCGAGAAATAAACTGAACAACTTTTGCCTCAGGGTCACATCGAAATTCCCTTCCAAATTTAAAATAGAAAACGAAAGAAAAACATTTTTTCATAATTGTTTTAAAATCTTTTGGCCCGTCCGGGCATGCGGTCCCGGGCCACTCTGGTAGCCTCGCAAGGTACAAAATAATTAGACAACCTATATTAAAAAAAAAGAAATAGACGACCGTTCTCCCCCCCCCCCCCCCCAAAAAAAAAAAAAAAAAGGGTGCACACTCATCATGAGTGTATAGAAGCCGTCTTTCCGGTCCGATGCAGTAGTGACGAGGGTCCTTTTTGCGCGGGGTAAGACCTTAGCCATTTATTCACCATGACAACCCCTAGACATTACGCGACCACATAGGCCCTCGCTGCACTACTCTCCAAATGTGCAAAACGAGACGGAATCTACCACTATAACATGGAAAGATACATTTTCATCTTTTTTGTCGTTTGTGCATGTTGAGAGTAGTGCAGCGAGGCCCATAGAATAAGAAAAGGAATGCCTGCACCGGGGCTGGATAGTGGTCGCAGTACATTTTTTCTCCGGGTTGTTTGTGGAGGAATTCCCGCCCTTCCCCTTTTGTGTGGTAATACAATGAGCTGAGTTTCTTATTAAAAAAAAAAAAAGGTAATAAAATGAGCTGAGTTTCTTATTTGAAAAGGAAAAAGAAAAAAGAACGAAGTTAAAAAAAAAGAGGAAAAGAAACGCAAGCCACCATGAGACTCGGCACACTAAGTACTCCGCAATATAGGAATAGCAAATTCTATTCCAAGTGCTACATATACACTGGATGTAGGCTGTGCTATTGTATAGCATAGGCATAGTGCGATTGTAGGGCGCCGGTGCACCACTCGTTAAATGCATAATATAATAAGATAAAAGCTATTGGCGGTGTATCTTTCCATGTTCTAGCGGAAAATTCATTCGCACTTTGTCCACATGCAGTGAGTGGTGCGGCGAGTCTCTGAGGATCCTTCCTACACAGACATATGTTGGTTCACTGCGGATCATCCATTGTATACTTGTTGAATTTCGCCGCACCACTCACCAAATGTGTACAAAGTGAGAATGAATTTTCCAGTAGAACATGGAAAGATACACCGCCGTATTTTTTTGTCTTATAATCTAGGCTACCAGCCGGGCCGCCCGGGTCTCGGCTGGCCGGCCCGTGCAAGGACCAGCGAAGGTCCATGCAAAAAAAATAAAATAAAAATGATGGTTTAAAAATCCGAAAAAAAACAATGATGTGCAGAAGAATAAATCGAACAACTTTTGCCTCAGGGCCACATCGAAATTCTCCACCGAATTTAAAATAAAAAATAAAAATTGAAAATATTGTTTTTATTTTTATTTTTATGTTTATTTTTGGCCCGGCCGGGCAAGTGACCCCGGGCCACTCTGGTAGCCTAGCGTATAATGCATTTCCTGACACAGATCTGATTTTTCGTTAGATTTGCAGTATTCTGCTCACGCGATGATATTGAACAAGGATTTTTTTTGGGGGGGGTCACCTTTGACCCTTCCAGATGCTTGGGTTCCTTGATTGCAGGCAGGCGATGATTATTTTTTGGGGTCACTTTTGACCCTTCCAGATTGCAGGCAGTATGTAGTATGTATGCATTAACATAAAGTCGTCATCAGCACTAAATTTGGAATAAAGAGACAAAAAAAAAAAGAGGGGAAAGAATCCGTGTTCAATTTGGTTGGGCGAGCAAAATATTGCAAATTTAATCGAAAAGTCTGTAGGAGGAGGCCCTTGCCGCACTAGGTACCATATGCACACACAAAAGAGAGAAATTAGCAAAATAATAAAAATATTTCAAATTTATAGGAAATTCAGTTAAAAGGCCCTCGCCGCACCAGTCCAGAGAAAGTGCCGAGAGATTTGGGAAGAAGGAGATCTCACTTTTTTTTAGAACGATTCAAGACTTGGATTCACATTCATCCATTCATCTACCGGCGGGGGTTTCAAAAAAAAAAAAAAAA